CCACATTTTATTACTTCTTCCAGCCCTTTTTGTCTTATACCTGTGAAATAACTTGTCTTCTTTTGATTTTGCCGCATAGACCCATTCATTGAGATGCGTTTTTGTTCTATAAAATGTAACAAAGCTTAAATTGCTACCCTCTCGAACTGTGGTATTAAAGCCTCAACTACATTTTGTGTAGTTTGCATATTAGAATGGTGAATGTTTAGATCAATGGAGTATAATAAATCATATACCATAAAATTTAACTTTGTAAATTCTTCCCCACTCCATCCCGGCGGTATTCCTGGCTAGACTTTGATACATTCCAGAACCACTCACATCAGTCCTACTGATTACCAAACTAGGACCCTTTTGTCGATATCTCACGTTGTTGATGACGGTTTCCGCGCTTATATTAAGCGGATGTTTGTTCTTAAACCACGTAATTTTAGGACGAGGATAGCCAGTTATGGAACAAGGAATGCGAATATTTCTTTCTACGTCAATTCTCCGAGAAATTGTTTTTGTGGATTTTTCGCCCCCTATAATAAAAATTTTATATATAAAGTTAAGAAACAAAGTTATTTCCTACCAAACAGCGACGAACTGAATGGAGTTCAAGAGTCTAGATATACATGCATGCAGAACTTGAATTACCATGTTCCGTGATGTCTTTAACTAAAAAGCTTACCCTACCTGTACATGCGCTTCAATTTGGCTGTCAAGAGACATGAAGTGTTTCCTTTACTCCCTTTGCGAAACAAATTTTTAAAGGGAAATTACGCAGGAAGGATTTACACAAGTATAGATGCGATATTCGCTGGGAATGCTTTTTCTCACTTCCATAATGAACTGCAATCCAACGAATTTATTTAACCTCATTTGCATACAATGAAGGGCGTAAATCCATGTTGGAGAAGAGAAATTACATATTCCACCCCTCCTACTCCAAAAGTGGGGGGACCTGTTCGGCCACGTCCCTCCTTTACGCCCTTATTTGCATACAAGTATTTCCATGAGACGACTGGTATGCTAAATTTATCAAAATATCTTTCAATCCGTCAGTCTTTCATTAACATTGTTTATGCGACTATTCTCGCTTACAACTTCAATTCGAATAGCTGTAGAATAGAGTATTTTTTACTGCTTTTATATCTAGTACATACCGTCATTTATAATTTGAACTGACGCTGTGATTTTACTGTTCTTTAATGTTTGTTTTATCAAGCAATAGCAGGTGAAATTTTTGAGATGTTTAAATTGCTTTGAGGGAATCCTGCGGTTGTGTGAACATCCACGACCTCGCCTATAGCCGTTATTCAAGTTGCATTCGCCGGCGACATTTGAACCATCAAATTTTGCGAGAGCAGGTGCATCGTCAAGTGCCGGGCACACGATTTTGAAACTGAGAGCTGCAATCTGCGCACGACACGAGACATCTATCGCAGATACACTTGGCTTTGAGATGTACGATATTTCCACGAGTTGCAAGTCTTGTGCCGTTTCTATAAAATGGTTGTTTGAGATACGTAAATATTCAAGTGTCTAATTAAATATTGAATTGCGATTGACTTAAGAGCTAAGGAGCGCGTTCGATATTCAGTTGGGGGTAAAACATTTTTAGTAATGATGCATGCACACGCATAAAAACGGTCGAGTGTAAAACGACAAATGCTTCAATAATTCAAAATGTTTATACTTAATTTAGCACGGGTAGAGGGATCGACGCTTTAACAAAAAGTCTTTCAAAAATATATTAAATATTCTGACGAAATACAGGGTGTATTCTATCACAAAAGATCGAGTATTCATGAATACTAAGTGATTGCGTTATTATATATAATAAGGTATTATATATTATTATATACCACTTGTCAAAGTTTGGTGTTCGTAGCATTTCATTGGTCGAGAGCGAATCACGCGAGGGTGACGAAATTTTGATGTGGCCAGGGCGACCCCCTCCAGAGTGAGATAACGTGTTATCTCATGGGAAATAACAACTTTAATCGTGCGACCTTTAGACTGTTTATCCATTTGAATATAGGTATTTTATGAATAGATATTTCGTTGTTTACCTTGTAGTTTGGTTTTTCTTTGACAAGTGGTATATAATAAAAAAATTATTTACCGATAACTCAGGAAACATTATGTTTCCTTCGTTCGCAGTAAATAAGTGTTAAATATAACACGTTATATGCAGCCTATATTGTGGGGTAGTATACGTTGCGCGCGTATTTCTAGGTATACGTCGTAAAAACTGTAGAAAAATTAGTATATATAGGTACATGTATAATTACAGTTTAAGATGGTTCTTAAAAGAGCGAACAGATGTCAACTGTACGTATTAATCTGGGGGGATTTAGAAATATTATATGCATATATGTAAGCCATATATAAGGACTGATTTTATATGTGTTTCGAAGAAGTAGTAGCAATAGTTATTCTAGAGTAACCAGACTATACTATGTCATAAGCCTTTCTGTGATTTTCAAACTCTTAATTCAGTCAATGTCAAACCAAATTACGAAACCGGGAATTCCCCTTAAACAAGTCATAATATACTAGCGATTTTTGTCGGATTTACGCATGAAATTTCACGTATTTCGCTGCTCATAATCCTATATACTTGTTCAAAAAATAGACCGTTATTTATTCCTTTGTGAGTGTTCGGCGTGTACTCTCAAATATCAAAAAACGTCATGTTGAAATTGATAATGTGCTTACTCATCATATTAAACAATTAAATAGATATAACGTTTCGTCATTGCCGAATTGTAGTACAAGAATATTCAAAAAACTGTGCAACGGTATATACGTACAATTCACACTCGTGTGGTACTCTATATGGTCTACACAAAAGTCTAAATATATTGTGATCGCGCTAAAAGAATGTTATACCTTTCTCTTTCTCTATATCGTCCACTAATTTGTCTTCCGTATTGACATTCTTGGAAATTGACATAACAGCCAAAATCCAAACAAATTTAAACATTGATGTCGGCATGGCTGGTTGGCAGTGCGATGATGTTCATCCAGGTAAAAGCACTAAGCCCTTTAGCTGTGACGAAGTTCAGAACACGGTTTAGAGCCTGTTTATTATTACTGCGGATATTGCCCAGACAATGCCTACTGTACTGAATATAGTAGGTTTTGTTTGAGGAGTGCCGGCTAATATTTGAAGGAGATAACCCCCGTAGTATAGCCTTAATTCAATGCCAGTCATTAAATAGGTGGAGCTTTATTATTTGCATATATATAGTAAAGAACAGTATAAATTCTGTTTAATATACAGGGTGTATAAAAAACTGCAACACTTAATATTGATATATGTTCGCTTCTACTCAATAACAAAGGATCGTGGGCCACTAAGAATTATTAAGGTTGCGTTTTTTGAGACACCGTGTATAGCGCCTGCTTATTTTTATATACCCGTATATTCAAAGTAATCCCGAAAGGCAATGCTTAAGTTTTCACCCTAGAAAATTTTCATGGTAGCTATGCAAAATCGTAGATATATATAGCTTTCCAAAATCAAGTATACACTCAAATGTCCCTTCTATATTTCGATGTGCGTAACTTTGTTTCCTTTGTGAACAATTGTTGGACAAGGCTTAGCCAAAATCCTACTCATGAAATTCGTCAATCGTACTTATCAAATTCGTCAAATACGTGTACATCAAAATTTTAATTCGTATCCATCTCACTCATCAGATTCATGAAATTCATCACAATTTTTCCTTGCATATAAATTTTATGGATACGATTAAAAACGTATATACGTTCCTTCGTACATGACCAGAATGTGCCGTACTAAATATAGAGTTTGTGTGGTTATTAGGTCATGATAGAGCTATGGAAGGGGCCTAATTTTTGCTAGGGATCCCGGCATCCCCAGATGTATAATACGTCACTGTGATAGTTTAGTTTGAAACGAAAACGCTAAGAAACCTGTCAACTATTTGATTGAGTGGACAATGCACGTTTAACGGAAGTCATCTAAACCATTATTAAAATCAGCCTAGCACTGAGCATGCAGGAATTCGAATGAGTTACGGATTATAGATATGCAGCTCTGCATGGGGCCGGTTCTGTCAAGCCCGTTTAGCTTAAACGGTGGATAAGTCAAAATTAAACAAGACGCCGTTCTGGCGTTAACTCCGGCGCACGTGCCAGTCTTCAATATAGAGCTTCTGGACATAAACAATACAGTTCGCGTATTGTTTCGCATACATATTCGCATTTAGATGCCTTGCGAACCTAAATGTTCGATCGCGAAATTCAGAAGCACATCGCAGTATAGAAGTTCAATTGTTCAAAAATGTAAATAAACCGCATGATACATTCGCTTCGTCTTACAGTTTGCCTTTGGAATTCGCGCTTATATAGTTGTATTAAATCTTCGATCCTGTGCAAACTACGCGACGTGTCAACGCGCCCATACACGACCACATCATCTTGTTAAACGGCGAAATAGCAGCGATATTATCAAAATAGGACCGGGTCTACATGTATTAAATATATTCTTATCCCAATTCAATCTAAACTTAATCGAACAGCATGAAAAGAACGGTCTATTTGTTCCTCTTGGAGGAATTGCCGTATCATGCGAGCGAAATCGAATCGCGCATTGGAAAATTAGCCAAAGCTGTGCACCACAAGTCTTGGGAGATAAGACTGGGACGTAGATAAATACGGTCACATACATGTTTTAAATACTAGTATATTTCGCGCCATTACAGACTTGCGACGACGAAAAATAAAAAAAAAAAAAAAAAAAAATAAAAAAAAAAAAACCGGGGCGAATCTTCAACTCCGCCGCTGACGCCGGAGTAATAACACTCTTACATCTCTCTGGAATGAGTCAACTTGAATACTGAATACGTAGTTGTAAACAGTATCTTTGTATTAATTATTTTGCTTGTTAAATAAAACGATAGACCTGATTTCTATTTTGACTGACTTAATCACCGTTTAAGCTAAACAAGCTTGATACAACTGGCCCCAGATCGACCATCTCATTACACTATCGTTTCCTTTCCGATAAGAAGTTCATCAAAGTATTCCTGTATTTTGTCAACAGCGTCCTGTCTTTTCATTTTGGAAAGTGTTTCTTGAAGATGACGTAATGCATCTCTCGGACTTCTGCTTCCCTGATCATTCTCCCATTGCGCGAGAAGCGTATCTGTTGGACTTTGTATTTTCAGTGATCCCAACCATCGTATGAACTGCATTCCATAACCCAGACGATCTGCTAACATCTGATAATTTTCGATCCCGACAATTTCTATATCTAACAACTCTCTCAAGTCTTTGCGAAGTCTTGTCGGAATGAATGCCACGGTCGTGTTTTCACCGGATCCATCGTAGTTTTGTCGCTTCTCTGCCGTTTTTAACTAAAAATGGCAATGAACCACTCTGTTTTAGCAAATTGTGCCGGCTATCTCTACCAAAGTGGGAGGGCGCCTGGTGTCGGTAGCACATCTTTTGGAATGAGCGGGGAGATGGCGTCGGGTGCTTTATCGGACAAAAAAATCGAAAGTCGGTGAAGATTTTAACATGCCAAACACAATGTTATTTCACAAAACGATATCTTAGTCAGCAGCGGGACTTACAATTAATCCTAGACAAAAAACACGCGGACGCTATTTATAATGGCTAAACTTTAGGTCGATCAATTATTTTTTCGCATGTGCTGTCGTATTCCCCGCTCCCCTGTTTGGCTACAATGTTGTTGTTGGAAAAAGTATTGCAGTAGTCGCCATAACAATTCAAGTGTTCATCAACATTGTTTCGGGGAGGAGGAGGTCGGTTTTATGAAGGATATATGTAAATATTGTTAAATGTTTGTGATATAAACCATGTAATTTATTTATTTCCAAGCTTTCGGCCCGTGAGCCTGAAATTTAAAAAGCTTAGGAATAAATAAATGACACTGAACTATTTAACAACACCATGCAAAACTTCAAAGAACGATAGTGTAAATATTTGTCAATAATATTTTTTCCATGCTTGTCCCAAAGTTGTACAGCATGATGACTAACTTGAAGCTCTTCAAATTTTTGCTCCATCTTTTCAAACCGTTTCTCAATGTTTTTTATCGCATTGTCCAACTTCCTCAAGTTATCAATTTCTTCTTTGCTTTCTACCGCCATTTCCTCCACGTCACTCGACAGTTTACTAACACGTTCTAGTATCATTTTTGCTAATTCAGGATCAATCGTTGCATTCATACACAATATAACACCTTCAAAATTTGAAACAAACATTAAACTATATCAATTCAACATTGACCGCTACTAGACATTTTGGAAACGTTGGTGGCACGTACAGTAAGCATAATTAAGAATTGATGGGGATTTTAAGTCTGATCGAATAATAATACATTCGTTCGTCGTCGCCACATTTGTCGTCACTTCAGGCTAGTTGCATAGGTAATATGATGATAAAACAAAAATGTTTGTTTACAACGACAAAATAAGTTAGGACGTTGGTCCTCGACTACGAGCTTAAAAGGATTTTTAGGTGATTTTAACATATTTATGGGCATTTTTTTTGTTATGGGCATTTTTTTTCTGTTTGGCGTCGCCAAAACCCCGGTTTCTCCAAAACGTTATCGAGCGGATTGCAAACAAATTTGGGTGGGGAACTTAGGGCATTTTGAGAGTGGCTTTAAATACATAATGAATGAATAAAAAATGTAATCTCAACGTTTCCTAGGGTGTGAACGTAAATATGAAGAACACATAAAAAAATTAAGGAATAAATAAAATTACCTCTTTCTTTCCAGTCATTAAGGTCTGCTACAACTTTAGATTTATCTGCAGGATCCACTTCCCCCACTAGTTTTTCCATGCAGTCAAATCTTTTTCTAAACTTTGAATCATTCCACTCAGTAAAATTGCAATGTCCCCAAGCGTTTCGATCAACTCTAACATCTTTTGCCGCATTTTGAACATCAGCAGGAAAGATTGGAATTCTTTCAAGCAGAGTAAGCACAGCAGATGCATCACAGGTCTCGTCAAATGCGCTAAGTTTCGCCATGAAATCCTTGAGGAAGAGCTTACTAAAATCAATATGGGAGGTAACTTTGTAGTCAAATGGTTTCTTATCATTCCCATTGATGTTCTTATAGTTCATTGAAGTGGGATATTTTGAAGTAGGAAAATTGTGCTTTGTCTGAACGTCAATACCACAACTTGATACGAGGTCATTGTACTCCTTCAGAATTTCTTTATCCAGAACAGGACGTATTGCGGTGATAAGAACATGATTTAGAGCAATTCCGTAGGCACACCATCGCTTATGGTTCTCCGTTAAATTGTTTAATGCACATCTAGATGAAGGAGAAATAATTGTTTAAGACGCTTCGGATTGTCAAGGTTCGCTCGAAAGTTTAAGTCTAATGTAGTTTACCTGGGGATTTTACTATCATATAGATTATACTAAACTATGGAAATGGTTAAAATATTTATATTATTTTAACCTAATAAGAATCATTTATCGTCTTGTAGTTGTTTGGTTTATTACTTTATATGTACTTATTTAAAATTGGAATATTTTTCTTATCGGTCCAGAAAATATTTATGAAAAAAATATTCAACTTTGTAAACAGGCGATTAGAAAAATAAATTTCAAGATTTGTTAACCGGCATTTCAACAACTGACCACGCATCATTAAAATTAATACGAGATTTCCGTGAAAGGATGAATTGTTTAACCAACATCATGTACAGATTTGCCACAAGGATGTTTCGTTTCAAAGTTGTTCCAGTTCACCCAGGTCCACAGATCTTTTCTCCATTGTTATAACTTCAAGTTGTCCGTAGGGAGTCCAAATATTTTTTAAGACATATTTTTGCGTATTCTGGATTTCGCCAGATATGAAAATAATATTTTGGTACTGGTAGGTAATTCTTCAAATTATGTTGCTGTATATTCTAGCATGGTGCATTCTTATTAGTAAACATGATTAGCCAACTTAGAAAATACAACGACAGAGAAAAGATTTCACAAAGATTTCACATGTCATTAGATAAGAAATCACGTGACTGTCACGAGGCTGTCGTGTTGAGTTTTAAGCAATACCGGAAAACTCGTGAATCAAAAGAGTTATGTTGTGTATCATTTGAATAAATATGTATATGCATATATAAGATGCGAAATGACTACGTTTTATACATGAAGCCCGATAGCGGACATTTTAAACTACCTGTACAGGGTGAGTCGAGAAAACGTCGGTCCTATTCAAACGCAAATTTGCTGTAATTGCTGCTGTATCGCAGCTGCCCAAGAACGCCCCCTGTCCAGAGGCTAGTTGTAAAGAAGACTAGTTAACCTATAACTGTTCTGTAGTTAAAGCCTTAAACACATTTGTACGAGCCTTTACAGTCTGCGTATCGTACGCGGGAGTGTCCACACCAATTAGTCGGTTAAAGCGATACGGCAATAAAAATGATCTTTGTCTATTTTAAAAGAACGACATGATTATTTACAAAATTCGTTTACGGCTTTTTGTTCACTTTATCACTTCTCAAGATATTTTCGAATAAAGATATTGATAAGACTGATAATCTGATATATACAATGCCTGACATGCGTTGCGTCATATAAGCTCGGTGAAAATTCATTTTGTAACTTCAAACGATCCAGCGAATTGGTATTACAATCGCACGTATCTGAAATTATTACGTTTGAATTGTAAGAGCTAGTTCTTAACTAAAGCGTTATTTTTTCAGCTAAGCGTCAACCCTGCTTGACGTCACGTAATCAGCATTCATTATAAAGCAAGATGGCGGATTATTTTGATATCTGGTGTTTTTGATCGCCAATATCCTTGCGAAGTAAGGAAGATAAACAAATTTTATAAAAATTAGGCTTTATACTTTATAAGAGTTGCAAATTAGCCTTTTGAAGACAGAATTGGCCAATCACAGACGTATATTACTGAGTTAAGTAGGATTTATACAACTGGCCCCAGCCCCCAGCCCCAGGATGTACTGTACTTCTGTACAAGAGTAAAGTCATAAGGATGTTTAAGGTATAACATGGTTATGAAAATGGTTATGGAAGAGGCTTAATGGAAAATTTAACCAGGGGGCCTGATTACTTGATTTAATTAGTGTTAATTGTTATGAAACCACTGGCAAGTTATTCTATTTTATTACCTTTCTACTAGAAACTCAATATGCATTAATTGTCAAAAATCAATCTATATATTAAATATTAACTTAAATGTATATTATCAAAATAACTTACTCTTTATATGAATCAGTACTGCAAGAAATTTCCATTTTGCTACTTTTTCTTTTTTACTAGCTGTCAGTTGACATCATTCTCCAGTTTCAAAATTAACCTCAAAACATTGACCATTTGCTAAATTGTAAAAAAAGTCAGTGAGTGGATTTTCACATAAAGTTTATCAGCAGTATGTTTCTTTATCTCCATCTACCCAATTGATGGATTTTTTTAATGAATCTTTTGTTTTGAATTCAAGAATATAATCAATATATTAAACTTTTATTTGTTTGTTTTAGCAAACTTTGCATATATTGGTTTTTCCCTAATAAAACATAACTGAAATGAACATGTCACATTCACAAAGGGTGAGATTTACAGGTAAGGCGGATCTGTTAAGTATCCAAATTAAAGTAATGTGCTAAGGGGGACATGTCAAACCTCTTCAGACCCTTAAATTAGTTATTTCTTAAAAAAAATACTTAATTGTGTCCTAATCTTCTAGAGCAACTTAATTTGTAAGCCTTGTCATCTCATCACCCTTTATATCCTTATTGTTCCCTACACATTAGTCAATATAAAATTGTAGGCTAGTGGAAGAGACTGTAATTTTGTTCACTAAACAGTAAAAATAGTAGAACACCAAACCTTAATTCGACAAAGTGAGCATACCCCTGCGTGGAGTGATAAATAGGCTTACTGAAAAGGTATGTGCAAGGGTAGAGATATCCCAGACATATTAAAATTAAGGTTACCATGCAAGTGGCATTCTGTCCAGTCTCAATCACTCCCATTCTGAATTATCTCTTTTAAACACATACATATACTGGCACTGGTGCATCTGAACCAGTAACATTAAGTACTTTCAGTTATAGTCTGAGTTATTATAGTTAACTGCTTGAAAATTGAAATGTTAAAGCATATACTTCACCAACTGAACATAAACTAGAGTTGTACAAAGTTTAGGGCTCACAAGGGTATTCGGCAGAATCTAAATCTCTTTTGGTCTCTGCTGGAAAAAAAAATTGGAAAAGCACCAAAGGCCAATATATAATTCCATCAATTTACTCAACTAATACTGAAAATAGATATCAGACCCTATAAAGGCCATGCCAAACACTGAATATAGGAATAGGTGCTTCGAGTAACAAATTTTTACTTAGCATATGACATAGTGGCATCTCATGAGCAGGCCTATTAAGTTACATAGGCTCACACCCAAAACAAAATCAAATCATGGTCTTTCAAACAACCATATCTAACAATGCCACTATGCCATAGGAATTGCAATTGCTACGAGTTCTCACGGACGCATTTTGCTATATTATTACCCATGTCCTATAGTACTATAGTAATAGTATAGTTTAACTACACGACATTGAACTAACGACGCTGCACGTAACCACTAGTCTACAGCTTGATTGATTTTACCATATATATGACAATGCTGCGGTGCGTTTACATACGTATGTAGAAGTTGTGTTTACAATACCTGCACGCTTCTAAATTTCTTCATTTTATAGACTTGTGACCATATCATATGTTGTTTACCCTTTGAATTTTTATCTTGGTCTAAAATCACTAAATTGTATTCTGTATATATTCGACGAAGATCAGCTTCCGTGTTAGCACTTGGTTATAACTTTTATACCGGAAGAGACATCTAATACACCCTGAGTACACCTTTAGCCCCCAGTTACAGTTTACCGGGTTATGGTACCGGATTTGTCGAGTTCACTGGATTTGTCTTGATTACACGATACCGGATTGATTCAGAATACAAGCAAAATGGCGGGCAACGACGTGTTGCCCACTGCTTCCCGACCTCTGGATCAAATAGAACAGCCGTTTTACAACGTTTTGATGATCGAATTACTTACCTTGGGTGTTTCTACGTTCCGCCAGCCGACTGTGTTCAAATGTGCCCTATACACTTTGTATGGTTGAACTGCCTTATGAAACTGATAGTATTTTTTAACGTACAACTGCCAAAAAAAATCCGGACCGTACAGGCCATAACTCGAAGGCCATTATGTATGAATTAAATGGCAATTATAGCGCACAAGCGACAGCCATTTTGTCAACAGAAATGTTCCGGATCATTTTCCTGTCACATCCATATATATATATATATATATATATTATATTATATATATATATATATATATATATATATATATATATATATATATATAAATGTTCCGGATCATTTTCCTGTCACATCCATATATATATATATATTATATATATATATATATATATATATATATATATATATATATATATATATACATATATATATATATATATATGTATATGTATCATGTGATCAAAACTACACGTTGGAAGTATATTCTTCATAAAATGTTTGACACTAACTCGTTAAGTCTTAATTGTCCCTGACAACCTTGTTTACAATATAGGCAGTTTGCATGCACACATGCTGCTTTTACAGTTAACATTATAATCCTTTATACATGCATCTAATTCAGAAATTCAAGACTGTATACAAAGCGCTCATCCTTAATCCTTAAACCTAAAATTTACTCTTATCACACGTACTTTGAGTACACATTGAAAATACTTTCGTTACCTAGATCAAAATTATTTTGCCCCATTTATTATGGAAGTATGGGCATTAGAACTTATAGAGCTATACAGTATCATGTCTTCAGTTGTTAACGAAAACGCTCAGAATCTTGCCATTTATTTTATTAACTGAACAGTCCACTTTAACAAAAGTCATCTAAGCCATTATTGAAAACACCCAAAAAGGACTGAGCAGAAGGAATTGGAATGAGCTACGGGGCCTAGATTTACGGCTCTGATCGACTATATCCTTACACCGTCGTTTCCTTTCCGATAAGAAATTCATCAAAGCATTCCTGTATTTTGTCCACAGCGTCCACTCTATTCATTTTAGAAAGTGTTTCTTGAAGATGACGTAATGCATCTCTCGGACTCCTGCTTCCCTGATCATTCTCCCATTTCATGAGAAGCGTATCTGTTGGACTGCGTATATTCGGTGATCCCAACCATCGTATGAACTGCAGGTCATAACCCAGACGATCTGCTAACATCTCATAATTTCCTATCCCGACAATTTCTATATCTAACAATTCTCTCAAGTCTTTGCGAAGTCTTGTCGGAATGAATGCCACGGTCGTGTTTTCACCGGATCCAGCGTAGCCTGAGGAAGAAGTAGAAGGAATTCTGGCTTCGGCAGGAGCGTTGTTTTGTTGTTTCTGTTGTGCTGTTTTGACCTAACAATAGGACCATTATTCTTTAGTAAACTGGTATATTGTGCGGCCTTTCTCTGCCGGAGGTGGGTAGGGTACTTTGGTATCGATAACACATCTTTTTGAATGAAGCAGTGAATTGGATCCGACATTATCGGACAAAAAATCAAAAGTTGGTGAAGATTTTAACACTTGTTATATTTCACCGAACAAAATCTTAGTCAGCCGCGAGATCTAGCCGGAATGATTCATAAATTCCTTCAAGCAATTTATAACGTTCTCAGTCATCTCAAGGCCCTGTTACAAGTTGCAGTTTTTCCTGAAATGCAATTCTACTTTTGAGAGATGTAAATTTGGCAAGTACGAAACTTTTATTTTTATTACGCTCTATGTACGTCTCTTACACCTACATTTTGAATACTCTGCACTAATTTACATCTCTTAAAATTAGGATTGCAGTGCAACTTGCAAGAAATTGCACCGTGTAACATGGTCTTCACTGCTGCCTTTTTATCTTTTGTTGCCCTAAAACATCGATCAAATATTTTGTTAATAAGTAATAAATAATTACTTTCAAATGTAAAGATTACCTCCGCCTCAAAATGCACCGAGATGGTAATATCAACAGGTTTATCAAATTTGCAAGCATCTTGAGAAGCTCTAAATTTGCAAAATATCTTTTGCGGTCTCGTGTCCTCGTGTTGAAAAACGAAAGTCAGGTTAGGAGTTGCCAACTGGGGACAATAACGCAACACTTCGTAACCTTGAGTCTAAAAATGTAATCGAATAGCATAGAAAATTTCACGACATTGATTGGCATTCTTAGAAAAATTATCCTAAGCAAATTTTGAAATCAAGTTAGGATTTGAACAACATATTTTCTACGGTACCTGAACATTACCGCCTCGTATCTTCCACTCCTCACTGATATCAATTGCTTCCACTTTGATATCACCACCTTCCTTGTAGAAAATTTTTGTTTTTTCGCTATCACCAAGAGTTCCTCGAAGTTGTTGCTCATGTTTTTCGACTTCCTGTCATTCAATAAAACGCGTTGTTAGGGTCACAGCAAAGGGGGTATTTCCTATGAGGGTGTGATCGGCCCCCGAGTATCCGAAGTCTGTATTTGACACATTTTTTAATGAAACTTTTCTAAACACACTGTGATAACAGTAACATATTTATAATTGGGTTCATTTATTGAACCAAAATATAAGTGAAATAACCAATGTTTGAGTTGTTTTTACCGAGTAAAATGGATCAATAAGAGATGAATACGAGACAATCTTTTGTTTGACAATTTGTTTTTGCAAAGCATGCACTTTTTGCATAGCACAACATTGCAAAAAAATTTTCCACCACACATTGAAGATCGTCCATTATGCTGTGTTGAGAAAGTTTACCGTCATGCATCCCTGTATATAAGTTTGGAATTATAATACTTACCCGTTGGCTGATCGTGAAGTTTTCTACCCACGGAGAAAAGTAAACTCTCACTTTGAAGTCTTCATTAGGTTGATGAAAGCTAGTATGGTAGGCCGCCAGATTGAAGATTTTGGCATGTCCTTTCCCCTCGATTACGTACCACGAGAAGTGTTGAACAAACAGGCTGAAATGCCGTTTTCCCATGTGGCAAAACACATCTTTTTGTTCTTCTCCATTAGCGTCGAAAACCTCTTTCCAGACGGGAGCATCCTCTGGCGCTGTGTCACTGCAATGAACTAGAAGAAAGGAAAGTAATAATTCGCCATGAGTGATAATAAGACACACAAGACCTTGTCTGGGCGGCTATCTTTAATTTTTATCTTAATTTATTGTTCAAATGGTCTATTGACTCTTAAGAAATTATTCTTACATTGCTATTATTGTTTAAACGCATGTGGATCAATTACGAAAATTAGCGCGAAAAGTACCCCAAAAATGGCGGATATTCGTCATCGTGAGCAGTGGCGTAGGAAGGGGGGGGCACTGGGGGCACGTGCCCCCCCAAAAATTTTTCAAGAGACCAAAAGTGCCCTTTTTTTGAAAAAATAATCCTTAATTTTCCCAATAATCCTTAAATTGAGAGGGGTTTGTGGCCATTTCAGAGGCCTATATCTCAAAATTTTCTCGGGGGAGCATGCCCCCGGACCCCCCTAGCAGTACAAAGCCCAAGAAATACGAATCAAACCGTCCTTGTATATCTTTATTAACCATTTTAACCGCCGTTTTTATTAACCAAAAGTGCCCCCAGACGCTAGTGCCCCCCCAACCTCTGGATGCTTCCTACGCCCTTGATCGTGAGAAAGGCTAATTCACCAAGATTTAACGAGATGACAGTACGTCGGTCTACAGTTGTCGGTCTCAAAACTAACTGAAACTTTTTATTTTGAAGCGCTTAATCTGTATAATCATACTATTGTTGTTTAATAACTGTATAAGCGCCTAATTCACCAGTATTTTATAGATAAAGGTTATCATAGCCTAATACATATGGTAAAATTCAAACCTTTAAACTCTTTTTCCGACTCGTCACCAACCGCCAGACAGTGGGGCAAGATGAGAAGAACGTGTTT